AAGAGCATAAACATTATTTGAATCCAAACATGTTGTATTTTTTCTTTGAAGTAAAAGTTAGAAGCAATCCTGAAAAACACTAAACAACAATATGAACTAAACTTTATAAATCCAATATATATGAAATTAAAAAATAAAATAAAAACTAAAGAATTAGATACTATAAGCTCCTAACATTCGAGAACTCCAAGAGAAGCTAAAATACAAAACATGATAAAATACAAAACATTTCTCCTTAGATGATTTTGACCAGAGCATTTACCCAAATTTCTAATGCAACATAGGGATTTATGATGAAGCATTTCAAGTTCGAATTATTATATATACTCATTTTAATCATCGAGCATGTTAGACATGACATTATCTACGCAGCCGAGCTGCTATCCACGTACCCCAACCATTGTCCAAAATTTTCATCAATTGTTAATTCTTGAATAAATTCTGTCAGAACCTGGGCCTTAATCTCTCTTCGAGGCTCAAGCAATAGATCATACTCTCCCAACTCGACCGCTCATTTTGTCAATCGATTTGAAACTTTAGTTCATCCCAAAGTATCGCATAGAGGAAGGATTGTGCGTACTGCTACTCTATGAACTAAAAAGTAATTAAGGTCATAGCTTTCGTACTGTAACAACCAATCCAAGCGCAACCTCCTCGATGTTGTTGTATCTAACTCTGCCCCTATGTAAAAGTCGACATCTTCTGGTGTTTTCCTCCTTCAAAAACACTAAGCTCACTACCGCGTGACCCATCGAGATGTATAACACTAGGTTGTCCCGTGGCTTAGGTTTCTTGAGAAATGGTAACTCAACCAGGAACTCCTTTAGTTGTTCAAGGGCTTGTTGGACCCTATCTGTCGACAAATTTGGCTCCCTTCTTCAGTGCTTGAAAGAACGAGAAGCCATACTCGGTCGCTTGAGTGATGAACCGACTGAGACCTTCCAACCGACCTGTGGGCATCTATGCTTTCCGCAAGTTCCTTGGAGGCATCATATCCCTAACTGCTTGTACCTTCATCGGGTTAACCTCGATTACTCTTTCTGTCACAATGTAACCTAAGAACATGCGCAATCCCCGAGTTTACATTTGACTGGATTCAACTTATCCCATACGATCTGAGAGTTATGAAGGTCTCTCTCAAATCACTAATGTAGACCTTCATATTTTGGCCGATTTGTCTATTGAACATCCAATCGACCAATCATTGATATGTGGTTGTGGCGTTTTTTAGGCTGAACGACATGACCACATAAAAATACGTTCCATTTTTCATGAAGAAGTTGACAAGCTTTTGATCCTCTCTTGCCAAAGGACTCTGATGGTAGCCCTACGAAGTATCCATCATGCTCAACAACTTTCACAAAATCCAACTTCACGTCGAAGTTCCTGCTCTTCTGCTTCACCGGCCTGACCGTCAAGTTGATGTTTAAGTGGTGAACCACGAGATCCGTGCTAATGCCTGTGAGTTCATTGGGATTGAAAGAAAAAGTACCCACCAACTCCTTCAATCTACCAATCAATCTCTCGTACATGCGTGGTGAGGTCTCGACCAATGCGGGTCAATTTGCTCTTCTCTCCCTCCACGAGCTCAATCTCCATGAGCTTGTCCTGGGATGTCACGTCAAGCTTGGCATGTTTTTCTACTCTCTCGACCAGCACATTGGCTTTCTTATTTTCACCCTGTCCATCCTCAAGGGTGACCTGGTAACATGATCTAGCCATCTTCTTGTTGTCTGTGACCTCCCCGACCTTATCATCTATAGGGAATTTGATTTTCATTAAATATGTTAAGATAGATGCTCAGAACACATTCAAGCTTGGTCTCCCCAAATTTATAATATATGCTGATTCGGTCTGAACGACTAAGAACCTGACCATCCACACCTGCAATAAAAGGGGTGCACCGAGAGCTACTGGCAATGCCACCTCTCTTAAGGGAACAACCTCAGAGTCGCTAAACACATATAGAGTTCTACATACGGGCTACAATGGGAACTTCAGGTCCATCTTCTTAAAGTTGGTGAAGATGATATCTACTGAGCTTTTAGTGTCTACGAGCACCCTCTGTATTTTATAGTTTACGATCTTGACCGTAATTACCAAAGCATCATTATGGGGCGAGGAAACACCTCTTAGGTCAAACGGCCCAAAGTGTATAAGGGAAACCTCTTCTGCAACCTAGATTTCCTCTATCCCTTCTCTCATGCCTACATGTCTCTTCCTAGCCTAGTTTGAGTCATCGTCAGTTGATTGCCTTAGATTTATGTGTATCACCCCTTTCTTCAGAAGTGCCTGCTCGAGCTCGTCTCGTTCGTCATGGTCCTTTTTGTCTCATTCTTTCTTTTCTTTCTTTGCATCCCCAACCTTAAGGACAAAATTATTCAAGTGTCTTATCCATATCAGCCTCTCAATCTCGTCTCTTTACTCTTTGCAGGTATCTGTTGTGCGCCCATAGTCTCGATGATACAAGCAATATGCCTGAGGCCGACCTATATGGGCCTCGTTTCTTCTTAGTAGGGGCCTAGGTCAATCTAATGGCCTAAAGTTACCCCCTCATTCCATGACCTCAAAATCGACCCTCGAGACGTCGTTAGGGGGTATGACGATCATACCTTTTCCCCGACTTCTAACCTATCTCTTTTACCTGCGTTTCTTTGTGAACCGACCTCATTTCTTTAAGTCGACATCGGTCTTCTGGTTTTCTTATTATTCTCTCGCCTTGCATCGAGCTGTCAAAAGTCCGCATTTCCCTCATCCATATTGATATACTTGGAGTATCTTTCTAACAGCTCGTCATAGCACATTGTTGGTTGCTTGGATCACGAGTTTTGTAAGGAACCAGGTCGAATCCTCTAGTTAGTCCTACAACTTTGACTTCCTCTAAGGCCGAGGGCACGTCTACGCATTCTTTTAGTGCATTGAGCTACATAAGCCATCAGCTTAGGCTTTCTCGTGATTTTGTGCGCTCTAGAACTGGTTGTTAAACACTGAGCTAAACCTTTATAAGTCTCTCATGGATCCAAGTGCGATTTAATGGAACCAATCCTAAGCAGAACCCTTCAGCGTGGCTAGGAATGCTCGACAACAGACTAGGTAGTTGTATTTATATAGCACAACCATGTTCCCAAAACTCCTCAAGTGACGAGTTGGGGTCCATGGATCCATCGTACGACAAGGTTAGCTTCCGAAATGCATGCAAAAAAATTTCATAGAGCACCTAGTCTGCAAAGGGTTTCTCGTAAAGCCTGGGACCATGTCGCCCCTCGATCATCTTCTGGAGCACACGCAACTACGCTGCCAGACTCTCTAGCGCGGTATCTCACCGTGCCTGCAACGTCTTACCAGGTGAAATAATGGATCTCTATGGTTCATCGTCTCCTCTCCTCATCGCAATGCGTTAGTCCATAGGTCGAGCTCTCACTCTGGTGCCACGTGGATGTGATGAGTGCATACATCCACCACCTCTACAATCATCCTATCCATCTATGTTTGGGTGATTTGGATGAGCGGCTTATGGGGGTCAGGTCAGGCTTCCATGCGAACAGGGAGCACTTTTTGTGTGTCGGTGAAGTCCCCTTCACTCTCTTTGATGACCTTTGCCTTAAGAAATGGCCCTTGACGCTGTCGGGATGGGTTTTTTTTACCCATATTTCTAGATCAACTCAAGGGAGGCTCGAACTGGCATTCCCTACAGATGCGGAACTTTGTTAACTTGGGTTCTCGGCAACTCCTTGTTAGCGAGCCACTCTAGAGGCAATCCCGATCCGAGAAGTCATGTATGTAGTCAGGTATCATCACCACCTTTCTCCCATGAATTTCTTCTCTTTTCGCCATTGATGTTGGTAAAGACCCTGTGTAAATTATGGAGTAAACACTATTTAGCTTCAACCGTAGTAGAGTTGGGTCCCCACAGACGATACCAATTTGATAGAAATCTACCAAATAACTCTGGTATTAAGTAACAAGTTATTTGTATCTCTGAATCAGTATGGGTTGCTCACCGAATTACCTAAAAAAAATTTAAAATGGTTTCCGACGTAAACTATGTGACGATCAAGTCAGTCTTATGGATATGGAAAAATGCATGAGACTCACTAGTATAAAAAAAGAGAATCCAAAATCATTACGACCAAACCTCAATCCTTATATATAAAATATTTACCCTACTGCTCAAGAATAATATATCATGTTGTCTATGAATATGTTATCTTGTTCAGGTCGTTTTGGGATCTCCTCGCAGAATAGTTCAACTCCCTTTACTACACTAGATCGATTACCTAGTTCTTCGGGTCCTATAGGCCATTAGGTCGATAACTCGACCTAATGTTGTTGGGTGGACTACCCAATATGATCGATCTGATCAACTTGCCCAATCTACTCGGCCCAAGTTGAGTTGAGGGAGCTCCTGTTTAAGACTGAAGTATCCAAACTATATCAATGATCCAAGATTTATTCCTCATTTAGAATAAATGTTGAATTTGTATTATGTATTTAATTGTTAATTCCTATACTCTACACCAAACACTTCACCTTCTATCTTCTTTCCTCATCGCCCTCACTTGGAGAATGACCATCACTGGAGGCAGAAAACTCTAAAGCTTGTCACTTGGAGTTTGTAGAGGCACAAACCACAATGCGCACGCAGTGATGGATCTCATCATACTCACTTAGAAAAGAACATAAATGGGTTTTTCGCACATGGATTTTTTTTTTCTATGTTGAGCATGTAGGCAGGTTTGTGTATGGCAAAATAGCTCGTTATATCACGATCCTTTCACTAAATTGCTAAACCATTACGACTTTTGGACCTTGGCAAAAAATATCACGACCTTTGATTTCCTTGCAAAACGATACACCAAAGTCAGAAACCGGCCATCGGCGCTTACGTGTCCGACTAATTTTTTTACCTGGAATTAAAAATATGACGTGGATATGATTGTCCCACGTGTACAATGACATAGAAAACAAGTATAAATATCCAAAAATCAGATATTTGGAATTCAAAACCCTAATAATAGGGAAATCAACGTTTTGGGGGAGATGATAGCAAAAGGCAAGAATCTGACGACAGGGACATAAAATTCAACCTTATAAAAATTGTGTGAATCGTTTTCAAGTGGGTGAAAGTGGAGGCGTATCAGGTGGTGAGTGTTCCGACAAGTCTCTGATCGGGAAAACGTAGTGCGCGGGCCGATCGAGGCTCCAGCGGTGGCGTAGAGCGAGAAGAAGGTTCCTAAGCTAGATCCGATCTCCCGATCGTTATCATCCACCGTTGAGGTAAGAAATTGGGAGTCGTCGCCAGTGAAGTCCTGATGATCGAAGTCCCGCGTCACGGCGGCGCGCGAGCCGCAATCAACGAGGTGGTTGCCAGTCGGAGAGAAGGTGGACACAGAGTAGAGAAGGGAGATGAGAAGAGGGAGAGGGTTTTCATCGTCGCCATTGACAATGAGCTTCGATGGTTTTCTGAAAGTTTTTAATTTTTTGTTATCTTGTTTTCAATGCTTATGAGTTATGACTGGTTTCTTGTGGGCTTCAAAAATTTGGGACAGAACGAGTTGGTAGAATCGACATATAGCTTCAATTGCAGATGATTGTGGGATAATGCATTCGTTCGAGCTTCAATTTTGGGAAATTAGGATTAGGGTTCGTGGATTAAAATTAAGAATTTTGAAAATTAGTGAATTCCCAAAATCTGATTGAGTTATTTATACTCATTTTCCATGTCATTGTACACGTGGGACAATCATATCCACGTCATATTTTTTTATTCCAGGTAATAAAGTTTGGTCGGACATGTAAGCATCGATGACCGGTTTCTGACTTTGGTGTATCGTTTTGCAAAGAAATCAAAGGTCATGGTATTCTCCGCCAAGGTCTAAAAGTCGTGATGTTTTAGCAATTTAGTAAAAGGTCGTGATATAACGAGCTATTTTGCCGTTTGTGTATTGTACGATTTTTATTTTTATTTCATTTTTCCAATTTTGCAAATTAACTTGGCTGAGATTTAGTGTTTTATGTATGAGAGCCATATCTTCTAAGGTGATGGCGGATCGGCTTTCCCTGTCCCAAAAAATGCGAGTTTTAACAGGCTGCATGCGGCTATTCCAATTTACATGTTTTTTACATGTTTACATAAGTATATGGTTTCACTTATAATAAGTAACAGACAATTTTGCATATAGATTGACTAATTATAATATCAAGTACTATATTATAAGGGATCGTATACTTTTCTTCCTGGGATAAAATGCAATAATCCTGTTGTTCTGTTCACATCGATTTGTAGCATGTTTACATGGGTTTTTTTGTATACTTTCGTCCAAGCCCACTAATATATCTAGGGCTCGTTTACTTTGATGGATGGGATAAGACTAAATAATCTGCTTAACTTTACATGTAATCGTTTAGTCCAATGTTTACTTTGAGGGATGGATTTTTGATAAACGAATCCCTTATTTACTTTGCAATTGTGTGACTTTATAAGGATAGAAAATAGGACATTGCTCTTTCAACTTCCCAAGAATGGTCGCCCATTGATTGGGTGTGAACTTACCGGTTATACGGTTTCCCAAATGAACTTCTTCCAACAGAACATTCACAAAAGCGGCTTCATTTTCGGGAGGCCATTTCGCGTCTCCTTGATTAGTATCAATCTAAGTACCAATACCACCCGTACATGACATCTACAATTATGACAAATAACAAACCAAATACAATGCGGTATGCTATGCTTGACATGTAGAAATGAATTATACAAATGGAGATATGGGCAATCATATTTCTTCTATATTCCAGACACCAAAAAATAAAAGGTAACATCACAAATGCCCTTTACTCCAAATTGGAGATTCAGACTTACCCAACATAGTTCGTCAACAGTCAACACAACAACAAGAAAAAAATAGTAAGGCCAGATGTTATGCTCTCAGTAATAATACTACAACGAACTTCAGATCCAAATTTATCCTATCATTTTTTTCATACAATAAACGGGCCCAGAAATAACATCAACATGTTTTTTGGGTGCCCTCAGTTTACCCTCCATTTACCTAGACCCAATTTTATAGCAAAGGATTGTAACCTCAAACCTAGTAAACTTCAACAATGTCTGTATAACATAACAAAAACAATTTCCTAACTACAAAAATGTGCCATGTATCCTTTTTTTTTCCATACAAACAAAATTAATTCTAGGGGCGCGCCTGAACAACAATTTCCCATAATACAAAAAAATGGAGGACAAGAGAAGTATGTTCTACCTTTGTTGGCCAGAGTCCTTTTTTTTGGAGATGTGAAGGAGACGTTACCGGTGGTTTCGGTAGTGTCTTGAGCTGGCAAATCGGTCCTTGGTTCGGCGTCGGCTTCACCTGATGTCGTCGGAGGATTTCGTCGAGGGGAGAGATCCATTGATGCAGAGGTGATTATAACCGAATTTATAGAGGAAAATCTTGAGTCGATTCTGTACGGTACAGAGTCCAGCTAATTGGATTTGAAATGTGGAAAAACAAGTAAAAAAAAGAGCATCCTAATGAATGGGAGCAGGTGGTGTTGGTGCCTTGGGGTGTGGGAAAGGCGGAAATGCGTGAAGGTTACAACTTGTTGTGGGCCCTGCACAAAACCAATCAATTTGATATCCAATCACAAACTCAACAGTGAAAGTGAGCCCAAAATCAGTTTTTAATCAGCCCAATTGATATCCAATCTCCCTCTAACGAATCTACTTAAAATTGGAACCCAATTGATGTGTATCGACAACCCAAAGTTGATATTTCCTCAATTTGTCTGAAAACAAAAAGAAATCACGGAGGAATAATGAGATGAACGGGAGAGGATGACAGAAATGCTCACCTAATTACCTGTGATTTCAGAGCTTGGGATGTCGAAATGTGAAAAAAGTTACATATTTTAGTCCAATAACATAGTTTGTTTTCCATTTTCATCCAGTAATTTCGTCGGATCTAAAATTGGTCCAACAACTCTTAAATTTTAGCCAATTTAGTCCTATTCTGATTGCTGGAATACGATTAGAAGTTGGTGAGCTAGAAAATTCCAACGTCCACCTGACTACTGTAGAATGATTTTCGGCAGATTAACTGATGTGGACGCTTTCATTTTTTCCTAGTAAATTTCCTTTAAATTATTTTAATTCTAAGATTAAATAATTCACATCCCTCAGCACCTTCAAAACTGTCCGATTGCTCCCCCAATCCCCATCACCGCTTAGCCTTTCGCGCCGACAAAATGCGCGTTG